TTCCTCTCTGAGCTGGTTGTTCTTGGGCATCTGGTTTCCTCCCAGCTCCCTCTAAGCATCCTTGCCTTGGGCCTGTGTGTCCAGCAGGAACTTCTTCACCCTTTTGCAACAAGTTATCCGTGTGTTCACAGACATTTTCTTATCACTGGGGCAGAGTCCCCTCTCCAAGGCGTGTGGGCCCTTGGCCACTGAAGTCTCAGGGACCTGACCCATCACTCTTTGGATACCTTCTTCTTAACATAAGCCATTTCCAGCAGCAATTCCTTGCTATCTATCTTTCCTGTCTTCTGCTTGCTCTCTTCTCCTTGGAACCCCCCCCCCCTTTTTGGTTTTTTGTTTTGTTTTGTTTTGTTTTTTGAGACAGGCTTTCTCTGTGTAGCTTTGGAGCCTGTCCTAGAACTCACTCTGTAGACCAGGCTGGCCTCGAACTCACAGAGATCCACCTGGCTCTGCCTCCTGAGTGTTGGGATTAAAGGCATGCGCCACCACGCCTAGTTGGAGCCCCTTTCTTAAAGGTCCCCTTTCCTCTCTTCCGTTCTCATGGTTCATGCTCATGTCTCCAGGAGCTATTCTGCTGTCCTTCATACAGCCCTTGTCCCTCTGCATGGGGTAGGGAATGAGATAACCCAGTGGCAAAGCCTACACCACTATACCAAGGGTTGACCAGCGTCCCTCCTAAACGAGGCCCAGCCTGACCCCAGGACAAGGATCTTGTTGAAAGGACTCCTCTCTCTGGGCGAGAACAGGGATTCTTATCAGTCTGTGGTCTCCTGGAAGGAGGTGTTTAGCCATGTCTCTAGACCTCATTCCTGGCCACAACTGAGAAGGTGTTGCTGGTCCGAGGTGAGGGAGGCCGGGGTGAAGAATATGGCTGTCCCTGCCCCAGACACTCTCTCCAAAAGACTCACATTTGATGGCCTTTTTTCTTGAATTCCACAGTAGTGAGCAGTCTGCCAAAGCTGACGCACACAAAGAACTGATAAGGACACTGAGGGAGCTGAAGGTCCACCTCCCCGCAGACAAGAAGGCCAAGGGGAAGGCCAGCACGCTAGCAACCTTGAAGTA